GGGGGTGGGAGGGAGGAGAGGGTGGGTGATGGGTATTGAGGAGGGCATCTTTTGGGATGAGCACTGGGTGTTGTATGGAAACCAATTTGACAATAAATTTCATATATAAAAAAAAAAAGGAAATTATCTTTTGTGTTTTCCAAGGTTTTCTGGGAAATTAACTTATTCTTTAAATGCTGAGATAGAGAGAGGTTGGAAAGACAGGCAGATATAGAGAAAAAGGAACATAGATACAGAGAAAGAGAACAAGCTGTGGATTGAGAAGGATCCAGAAGAGATAAGAATTATATTGAACTTTTTAGATAGGAACCGCATTTCAGAAAAGAGGAAAGCTCTAGTTAGAAAAGGGCAGTGATGTTTAGGATTAAAGGTCCAGAGGCAAGACCAAGATGCAATTAGTAAGTGGAATGGTCCAGCAAGACAACACTATACGAGTGGATGTGTATGGGCTCGAAAGGGAGACAGGACAGAACACAGGCCAAATTGAGGAGAAATTTAACATCCATGTTAAGCAGCTTAGGTACTGAACTGAACTGAAATGGGGCTCTGAGGCTGATCTTTACAAGCTCCCAACCCAACTCTACCTCCAGAAATGGTTGGATCTTAGCTAGATGTCCCTGCTCCACTTGCACCACTGGTATTGACTTTCCACAGATAGATAACCTTTGCTTCTAGGAAGAGAAGCCACCCCAGTGCACCTCCAACCTTTACCTGGCCTTCATCTCAGGGATCTGATATTATCAGCGTGAAAACAAGATCTCTTGAAAGCAGCAGGCAAACAGAAAAAACTTTCACACTAAAGTGGGCAACAAATTTCAACCTAAGCAGGGAAGACTTTCTGGTGTCCCAGGGCGTATCTCAGCAGTTATAAGCACTGTTCTAACCTAGACCTTTTTATGTAAATAATATAATAACCAAGAAAATGGACAGAAGAAAAAAAGAAAAGCTTACTGAAATAGGAACTTCTCAAGGGCAGGAACCTTGTTTTATTCACCTTTGCCTCACCGGAATACCTGGCATATAGCAGATCAGGAGACATTTGTTGACGAATGAATGAATGGATTCAATGGAGCCAAGCATCTAGATAGTTAAGTTTGACAAAACATACACATTCTCCAAGTACCCTCAGGCATGCTTCTAAATCAGTCAAATCCATGGGAAAATTGTAATCTTTCCAGCTGTGAGTATGGGAACAATCCATGTTCTTAACTTTCTTCAGCAGACTCACCGTCTTGAGTGTTTGGACTCAGAACTTGGGTTCGAAGCTCCTGCAGGCTAATTACCAAACACCTGCAGACCTCCTCAGGGCTATAGGGTTCAGGGTGAAGGGCATCTTCCACGATCCCGAGCATTTCTTCCAGACTGACCCCTAGTTTGGCCTGCACCTCCTCTAGCCGCAGTATTTTATCCCATTGCAAGCCTTTGTACTTTGCCAGGAGCTGTAAGTTCAAACCAAGATAGTGGTTATCTTTCATTTCAGAAATTGATAGGTGCTATTTTAATTAGCCAAATTCAACTTTAAGCTGTTGGGTTTTGGTTTTTGTTTTTTTTTTTCCTATTCAACCTATCCACAATTCCCATCATTGCTTGAAAATGCACACTGGATTCATATGTTTGGAATTAAACATGCTTGTGTGACACTCGCAGGCTAGTTAAATATTTTTCCTTAAAATTCCTAATATCCCACTGATTTGTTTTTGTTTTTTGTTGTTGTTGGTTTTTTTGTTTTGTTTTGTTTTGTTTTTTTTGGTTTTTTTTTTTTTTTTGCCTGCTACCACTTTCCCTCAGGGCTATTTCTTGGAATGATTTTTTTCTTTTATCCCTATTCAGTTCATCCCTAATACACCACTCTCTATACAGTCTACAGAAAGCTACTCAATTCTCATGTGACCTGGGTCCTGAGGTGGACACTGTATGCCCGATTTCATTAGAGCACTTCCTGTTTACCACATGCCTCTTTGAAAATGGCTAATGAATTTAAGTATCTGGGCATTTGGAGTAAAGTCCCAGATTTTAAATGAAAACCTCATTGGTGACCTTATGAAAAACCACTTCATTAGATCGCTGGTAGAACTAGCTCTGTATGCTTCTCCACCCTCAAGGGAAGAGTGTGGCTTCCAACTGCACCCTGAGGCATCCCTTAGTCTGATGGAGAGGGTTAGGTACAAACCAAATCTTTGTAACCAGGTCCACTTATGGGAACCTCAATCCAGAATGTGTTTCATTCTCCCCAGACCACTCGCAGCCCTTCAGAGCAGGAGACAATCAAAAGAGTGAAGATATCTCTCATCCTAAGGTCTATAAAATTCATTCCTTTAGTGTGAGGCAGGTGCAGACAATACAAACAGCAAAAAGAAGCAAGTAAAAGAAGGGGAAACTAGTCTTCAGGAAAATGTGCATCTGATTTACTCTTCTATTATGCTGATGATTTGATTTGCTTTCTTTTAGACAGGAAGCAGGGTTTACCAAAAGACCATTGAACTTTGGTTAGGGCCACTCACTTCTGAAGAATGTTAATAACAGAAGTTCTTATATTCATTAGTCCTCTTTTTAAAACTCTGGCTAATACATTTGAAAGGAGTTAATGATTTTAAGGCAGAACTGGGAAAAGAGAAAAAGAATTCTACTTTTCTGTTCAATTATTTCACAGAACATGGTACCATTTCCAAAGCAAGGACTAAAGCTAAGACCTTTCCTTCTGACTTTGTTTGCTTAGAACATTTAGTTAGCATTTGAGCAGTGCTAGATTTGATACCTCCATGGATTTGCTCTTTTATTTAATTCATTCATCCATGGTCTATATTCCAATGTATTGCCAAATTTGTTTGAGAAAACTTACAAAGACATACATAGAACAATATATTTATATTATACAGAAAAAGAACTTAAGTTGATAATCTCCTAGAATGATACTTTCTTGAAACACAGATCCAAACCCAGCCAAAATAAGCAATGAAGCAAACAGAAGTAATTATACCTGTATATGATTTAAAATGTGCTTTTTATTTCTTTTAATCTTCAACAGCCTTATGAGATGGGTGTTATTACTCTGTTTAAGAGGTGAGACTAAGTGACTTGTCCAAAGTCATCTAACTAGTAAGAAACAGAGCTAGAAATTAAACCCTGATCCTCTAACTCTTTCTTGATTTCTCAAGGCCACATTCTCAGTGAGTCACGGCCAACATCTACACGGTGTTGCTTACACTAGTTCAAATTGCCATTCAAGCCCTATGAATGCATTTCTAAGCACAAACTAAGATTTATGCTAGAAATGAACATTCCAGTGATTTAAAAACACTTTGATAGATGTGTTCCATCAAAAAAAAAAAAAAAAAAGGAAGGAAAAGGAAACATAAAAAAAGATGGCCCCCGAGTGATGACTGTGGGCTCTTCCTAAGGACCTTTTAGTAAACAACAGTCTTCAAGTTTCCATCCCTGGGCTCACTTGGACAAGTCACATTGCCTCAGGCACTTGAACCAAGGAAACTGGGCCAGGGATGTGTGAGGAGAAAGTCTGGGAGGGATGCCTGCTGCTGCCTACAAGGTTGTTTTTTTAAGGCAGCCTCCATGTGTGCTTTTCTTCCACAGACATAGGCACTAGCATACAAAAGTTAGCATTCACTCCAGCAATATCCCAGTTTGCTGTTGGGTCCACATGGCCAATTTGATATGTATTTCAATTAACAACAGCAGCATGGCCATGAGCCACCAAACAGCGTGCTGCGTCGTAGGAGTAAAATAGGAAAGCTGCTTAAGCCCTTTGGAATCTGGCTCAGGAAACAGAAAGATGTGACTTGCAGATGAAGGAAGGGGATGGGTAAGATCACTGTTGCTCAAAGACAGAACTTCATGAAGGAATTTGCCACTTGAGGCCCTGGTGATTGGCCTACTTCACAGTTGTGAGTCAGGGCTATGAGTCAGGGCTATGGGTCATTTCGTCACAAGTTCCTCACTTGTAGCAGGGTGGGGAAATAGGAGAAAGCAGTTCTTTGTCAACATCTAGCACTTTCTTTGCACCGCTGCAAGTACTAAGTCTTTGTATCAGATACCACTTGTGGGAGGCTCCTGAGCTTGTTCCATGCTTGGTGGGCAAGAAAGCAGGCAACAAGTGTTTTGTCGACAGTCATGGAAAGAAGCAGATAAAGGGTGCTAGGATCCTGTCTCAGGTTGGTGTCTCTCAGAAGCAGGCCCTAAGGCAAGTATTTAGAAGAAAGGATGATTGCAAGATGCTGGTAGAGGAGTAGAAAGTGAGACAGGAACAGAAGCCAGTGCAAGGTGTACTGATACAGACAGGTGAGGCCGGGCCCAGCAGGCCCTCTGGAGCCTGTATGTAAAAACCTCAGATGTGCCCTGCCTGTGGGCAAGAAAGCTGGGATATTTACCCACTAACTCTCATCCATCATCCGGTGAGGGCTACTTGCAAGCTACTTCCCTAGCACTTCCAGGTTGTGTCAGGTGCATACTCAGAGCTCTGCTACAGACAGAAAAAGCCCTCAGTCCTGGAGAGTTGCTGGAGCTTGCTGTCAGAGAGTGTGCTGGGAGAGTGGTAAGATATGGACCCTATTTCAGGAGCCTGACTGTCAGAATCCACCTCTCCTTGACTTTCCCATTGCATTCAGCAGTACTAACAAATCAGTGGGAAAGGTACCAAGTCTCCTCTTCACCTGGTCAGCAAAAGGCTAGAATTTCTAATCCCTTCCCTTAGTTACCTCTAAAAACACTCCATTCAACAAGCTATCTTCCATACAACAAAAGCAGCTATGTTGTTTTGTTTCAGGTTACATAAATCACACATGCTTTTTTTTTTTTTTTTTCAACGTTTATTTATTTTTGGGACAGAGAGAGACAGAGCATGAACGGGGGAGGGGCAGAGAGAGAGGGAGACACAGAATCGGAAACAGGCTCCAGGCTCTGAGCCATCAGCCCAGAGCCTGACGCGGGGCTCGAACTCACGGACCTCGAGATCGTGACCTGGCTGAAGTCGGACGCTTAACTGACTGCGCCACCCAGGCGCCCCGACACATGCTTATTTTTAAAATTTCAAAGAACACAAACAGTTCAAAGTAAAAAAAAAAAAAAAAAAAAAAAAAAAGCAAAGTACAATAAATCGTCTGTAGTTATCCCAACGAGACAACTACCAACCACCATTTTCATAATCATCCTATCATATATTTCTACAAATGTTATGGATACCTGCACACATATAGCTCTACATAAGTGGGATCATACACAGATGTTTTATTGTGAATCCTTTTCATTTTTTGCGTATCTCTCCCTTACCCGCTTCCAACTACACAGAGCTGTTCTCCAGTATTCCGTGGCAGGTGGTGACTTCCGTGTGCACATTGCACTCATAACCACCACCAACACAGAACCACAATGACCCTGTGCAGTGTTAGTGATCCGCACTGCCTGCACTCCATAGCAGGTTTCAGGCCACAGGAGAAAGCCGAAGAAACCCGCACAACTGTGCAGACGTATCTACCACAGTTCTCACCACACCCTCAACACATCCTGCCTTTTTTTTTTTTTTAGAAAAAAGGCATCCCCAAACATCATGCTCTGGATCCCACTCACACCTAATTCATAAGGGGCACAATGGAAAGAGCTGGGATGAGGACAGACCTGGACTCCTGTGCTTACTTAAAACAGGTCACAAGCTACCTTGGCCCAAAACTCCCAGTATGTAACATGGCTCACTTGATGTCTACTTCACAAGCTACCATGAAGATTAAGTAAGATAACACTAAAAACACCTAGCACCTTGGAGGGCACTATGGTTTTCCTTCCCTCCCCATGTTCCCCTGACTCTCTAGTAGTTCTCACCTACCTGACACCTTCTCCCATGCCTTCAAACATACACAGATGTTTCCTGTCTTAAAATCATTATTCCTAAAGCTACCACTCTTCATTTCTCCCACTCTTCCCATACCAAACTCCAGTTAAGGAATATGGCCTCCCAAAGGTTTTTCTTACCTCCCAAGCCACTCCCAAAGTCCCTGGAGTTTTCTCAGTCCCTTTAAAAAGTCCTAATAAGTCAAATTTCCTGTTTCGTTGGCTTCTATAGCACTGAGTTTTCCTGGTTTCTCACCTCTCTGGTCCCTGCCTCATTTCCTTCCATGACTCATTTTTCCCCTTTCATTATCTCATTGAAGTCACCTTGCAAGTTTAACCCCCGACCTTCTGATCTTTTCTTGCCACACTCTTTCCTTCAGCAAACTGAACTTAGCTCTTGGTTTCAACTGTTATCTCCAAACAAGTAGATCTGAAGGTTCTCCCCCTAGCCAAAAGTTATATTCCATGCTCAAATTTCTAACCACTTACAAGAAAATTCCATGGGAAATTTCACCGCCTCTCACTTTCCAGCCACCTTCCATCCAACCTTCCCTAGACCCACCCACCAGTGGCAGAGCTAGGCTTTCCACCCATCATTTCGGCTTAAAACTGCAGTCCTTATCAACTCAACACGTTTCCTTTATTCACGCTTGCCTGTGTACAAGGAGCATTTGCTGAGTGCCCACTACTCCCCAGGCCCTAGGCAGACAACAGTGTTTATTCACAGGCACACACGGTGCCTGACCACAGGGAGGTCTCAGTCTACCAGAGAAGAGAGGTGTTAAACAAGAATTACACAGTGAAGCACTTCATCTAATTGCCATAAACTGCAATAATGGACAAATGCAGGATGTGGAAAGAAGGCATTTAACACATAAAAGGACATTTGACATAACAGGAGTGGGGAGGGTAGCCAGGGAAAATATCATGCCCAAAGAAAGACAGAAACCCAATCACAGAGAGCTTTATGCCCAACCTTTACCAGGTTCAGGCACAGCCTCTTTCATACCCCTCCCTTTTTATCCCAACCCCGCTTCTCTTCAACCTGCTGCCAGGTTCGTACTTCTAAAACCTTGCTAACAGCAATGGCTCCCCATGCTTCCACGACCAAGCCTGGTTGATCCTTAGCGTGGTACTGAAGTCCCTGCCACAACCTGGTTCCACTGAACACATTGCCCCTGTTCCCCAATATGAGCATCCTCTACCCTGCAGTGTGGTCCGACCATTCCGGGAATGCTCCACACTGGAGTCTTGGCAGAGTGTGTTCTACTGAATCAACAGTGCTGAGCGAGACCGGCCACGTTCTTGGGTATTTGGTTTTTCTCCACTGAAATTCAAGAAAACTGCCAGAGCCCTGAGATGATGCCCACCTCTCACATTCTATCACTAGACAGAGAATAAGTTCCATATTGACCATTAACTGGTAGGAGCTAAAACACCGGACGAGTGATGGCCCCTGACCAGACAGGCTCTGTAAAGAGTCACGTTGTAAAATTTCCTTCAAGTGCCAAAGGACCACATGAAACTCTCTCCTTCATTGCTTCACATGTTGCCACAAGGAGCTCGGGGTATGCAAAAGCAATGGAATAATTTCCCTTCCCTTTCTGACTTCCCATAATGCTTATTATCAGCATCACACATTTTATCCCCCAATATAATTAAGGGATGCTCTCTTTTATAGACATAAAACATTTCTGGAAAGGTTTAAGCCACTGAATGTGTATAAAGTCTGAAAAATTTTGTGCTCATGAAAGATTTCTGGCCACTTTGTTAATTTAAGAACATAAAAATGTGCTTCACTTAAAAGTATCCCTTACGCAAGTAGTAATTATAAATCTCTACTGAGTTTGCTTTGAAATGTTTTTAATTTTAGTTCAAATGGCTCTACCAGACTCTGACTTTCAGTGAATCTGCATCATTTAGTTTTTGGAAGCTACTAGAGGAGCTAGTAAGGAGAGGGGGAGGGAGAAAGAGAAAGAGAGACAGAAAGGAGACTTGAGGATAGAAGAAACTATCGATGTTAAAGCCAAACAAAGAAAAACCATCTTTGTTGGTTCAGTGTACTTCCCCGTGTTAAGCAGATACAAAAGGCACTCATTTTCCGAAGAGGAGCTTGGAGAGCTGGGAGCAGTGGGAAAATGAGTGTCATTCATTACAGTTTTGCTGCAGAGAGCTCTGTCTGATCAGTCTCATTTTTGAAGCTATTCTGATTAGTCATTAGTCATTCAGACACTTTTACCGTCTGAAAACAGAAAGTTTATCCAAATTAAGACAACTTTCTTTACCTTTTCACGTGGGAGGTTTCTTTCCTAATCTAATGAGACCATTTCCAAACAAATATTATATTCACCCACATGTGAATAAGAGAATGGAACCATATTAGAAGGAAAATGTGCTTAGTAAAATCTCAGCCTAGATTCCCAGGCAAAAGTGTATTCTTAACATCAAGATCATATTAGCAGTTTTATCTTTACTTCCCTTTTGTACAGAATCTCAGATTCTACTGATCTGCAGCAACATGATTCAGGAAACATTTTTCATCTTGATAAAGTCTTTCACTTGTCTTTCTTCCATATTTTAAAAGAGAGACAAATTCAGAGTATATACCAATTAGGAGGAGTAGGGGGCAAAAACCAAAATTCAGATGCCAGTTGCACTGACCAGAGTACCTCTAAGACGCATGTGGAGCTATCAACTCAGAAGATATCCTCAAGAACAAGAGGTTTTGCAGTGGAGTAAGGTTTTTCAGCCACTACTGCTTCCAAGAGAGATGGCTTTTTTTCTAGTTAACTCTCAGACATTTCCCCATTCTGACAACTTCCACTAGAGACTCAGCCCCACACCTGCGCTCCTCTCTCCCCTTGCATCTTGGGAAGGGAGGAGTCACAACAGGAACCCATTTCACATCTCATACTCGTTGTAGCTGTAGATCTCGTAGAGGACACCTCATTTCATGATGAAACTTTGAAAACAAAGTTGTGTGTGCATGAAGTCTCCTCAGGAAGACTACACTTACTCATCAATCTCAAAGTCAGCAAGAATAAACCCTCAAATAAATAAGATACGAATTTCTTCCACCTCCTGAAAGAGGAAGCTTGTTGTCCTAAAGGAAAAAAAAAAACTTCACTGTCATTGACGCTTTGATATTGAAAAGTTTATTGCACTACTTCTCATATATGCACGGATCAGATACTGTGAAGTTTGATATTAAAGCATTGCTTTTACACAAATTTTAGAAATTATCTGAATGAGTAAATTCCAAATTTAAAACATTTAAACCATGATTTTTAAAAAAATATAATGCCAAAATGTTCCAGAAAAAAAGCACCTTTTATTTTTCTGGCTCATCGTATCTCAACTCCCCCTAACTTCACAACTTCAGGTGGTGGGAGGAGGGTGAAGTGGCAAGTCAGTCACAGGAATAACTGTACCTTACACAGTAGCTGTAAGGTACTTTCTCCACAGTAGCTCGTCCAATATGCACTGGTAAAATATTGTGAAATTGAGCAAAATACATATGACAGGGCAGGTAACACAGGGAGTTATTCATTTATTCGGCAAATGTTTATCCTGTGCCTATTTTGGCCTAAGCACAATGCCAGGCATTAGAGAGATACAAGAGTTAGCAAGATGGATGCAGTCCTGGCTCCCGATAAAATTGTATCAAAAGGAGGAGACAGGGGCGCCTGGGTGGCTCAGTCGGTTAGGCGTCCGGCTTCGGCTCAGGTCATGATCTCGCATTCTGTGAGTTTGAGCCCCGCGTCGGGCTCTGTGCTGACAGCTCAGAGCCTGGAGCCTGCTTCATATTCTGTGTCTCCCTCTCTCTGACCCTCCCCTGTTCATGCTCTGTCTCTCTCTGTCTCATAAATAAATAAACATTAAAAAAAAAAAAAAGGGAGACAGACATTAAACAATGGTGATAAATTCCATAACTGAGAAGTGTACATACAATGAAATTTGAAGGGAGACTTAACCTTAGTCTGGGAGTAAGAAAGTCAAGGAAAGCTTCCCTGGGGGACATTTAGGCTGAGACTTCAAAGAAGGCAAGGGGAAGAGCATTCTGGGCATGTGCAAAGTCCCTGGGGTGGGAAGGAGCGTTATAACCGGAGTGTAATGGGAGTGGGGGATGCTAAGACAGGAAGAGGATGAAGTGCACAGGCATCAGATCTTGCAAGGCTCTCCAGGACTTTTTACTTTATTCCAATGAAATAAAAAAAATTGAAAGTGTTAAGCAGGGGAATTATCTGATCAGACTTAAATTTCTAAGCCCTCATTCTAACTAGGAGAAAGCACAGTGCACCTCCTAAGCCAGAACCCACTCCCCAGCTCCAGGCCTTAATTCTCTCCACATTTCTGGTCATACCATGTACCTTTCTGGATCCTCCATAACATTTCATTTCTGCGTCATTTTTGGAGCACCTGCTTACATACCATACCTGATCACATACTAACCATTTCCTTTAATTTTAACTCTAATTTCACATCCCTCTAATTTTAACTCTCCACTCTACTCTCTCTATTCTTATGTCTTATATCTCTCTGTGTATCTTCATGCTCCTAGGCATACAACAGGTATTCAATAAATACTTCCTAAGTAGATTTAAGGCTTGACTGGCAAGATTCTTCTAAACTATGGAACAGAGAACTCCCAAAACTCCCTGCTGGTTTGTGTTTCCTTTGCAGACATGTAAAAGTCTTTTGGGCACAGGAGCATTACAGCGAGTCCGTTTTTTTAGAGTGACCAGTGATGGCCTGCTGCTACAAAAATGGTGCATCTGACAGCAGCAGGTGTTGGGGTTACCATCACATTTGTTGAGGAAACAAGATCATTTATGGTCACTTCCCATCAGTCACCTCCAACTACCTTTCTCCACCCATACCTAACCCACGGACTGTGCTTCACAGATATAAATTCTCCTCTTCTCCCCATGCCACCCTAGAAGACTCAACTGTGAAGTTCACATAGCTTCCAAATGCCTAGAGGTTGCAGGGCACACCTATAGGTTTATTTATCTCCTGAGTTTGGAATCAGATTGCTCTCTACCCAAAGATTATCATTTAAAATATTGCTGCACTAAAAATATTGCCCTAAACTTTACGGAAAGAGACAAAGTAGCAGGGAAAAAGGAGAAAAAGGACAAGGGAAAGCCTACTCCAGGTTTCACTAGTGTGCCAAATTCATACCTTTGCAGCCAGCCGACACTCCATCACTCTGATATTGAAGTGTGAAGTCGCTGCCTTATTCATTTCCACACAACTGTTGGCAATCACAAACACTGCTCCACTTGGGAGTTTCACATCAGTTGCCCTCAGAGGACTAAATTCTATCAACTTGGCCTATTGGAAGAAAAATGACAGGTGAGATATAATGTATTAGAATTCAGAAAATGTTAAATAATTTATGTATTTATTTACCTTAGCAAACATTTTTCCTAAAAATGCACTCATTCGATTCAAATATTATTTATTGACTTCCAGGCACTGTATGAGGCACTGGAGATACAACAGTGAACAAGACAGACATTGTCCCTGCCTTCATAAGAGCTCACAATCTAGCAGGAAAGACAATCAAGTAGACGAATACATTTCTAGGTTGTGTTACAGTGGTAGCAAAGTGCAGGGAGCTTTATAGACACATAGTTGAAGCATCTGATCACCTAGTGTAGGCTCCTTTGAAAAAAGGGAAATCTAAACTGAGTCTTAAAGGATGAGAAAAACTAGGGCAGACAGAGGATTTCTTGACCCAAATGGGATATCAAAGAGAGGGAAGAGCATATGCAAGTTCAGAGGCAAAAAACATGAGGTGTTAATAGAGCTTTGTGTATTGAAATTTGGCTGGAGCTCAAAGTTGGAGGGTTGAAGATTGGTGACAGGGTAGGCTGGAGAGGTAAAGCAAGGGCCAGGTCATGAAGTGTTTTGTAAGCTCAAAGACACTGGACTTTGTTCAGACTCTATAGCTAACTTACATTAACATCAGGACTCTTACCACCATCTATGCTTGTCAGGTCTCATCCCAAACACCCAGAGTGTGTTCTCAACATTAAACCACATTTTCTCATGCTTCATGTCTTTGGCTTAGAGAAATCAATAATAAATATTCTTAATAAGAAGAAATCCAGGTATTCTTGGAAAATAGCCAAGCCTGTAGGAATCTGCTGAAAAACTAAGAAAAGGTTTTAAAGAAATGTCTGCTTCTACTTTGGAAATGGGTTTATGGGCAACAACCAAAACCTCTACTCTGCCTAAGGGAGTTGATAGCCAAGGGGAAGTAGTATGCAGCTAAGGAATTCATCTCTGGCTTACCATCAACATTCTTTTCCCCGCCACTGAAGCCCCAAAAATGTTGACAGAGAAAAATGATACCAAAGTGTAAATTATAAAAAGAGGGGTTGTGAATATATGTGGTAAGAGAAGTTAACATTTGGGTTTAAAACCAACAAGAGATTATGAAAATGCCATGAGATGAAGTGATTTGGGACGAGAGCAGGAAAGGAGGTCTCAACAACCAAGGAGTTGAGAAATCTCATTTAACAATGAAAAGAAATAGAAGGGGGAAAAAGTAGACACAAGAGAAAAACAGACTTGAAGTATGGTTCTGGAAGCCTAAGAAAGAGGTGATCAACATGAAACATAATAGGTGAACTGATAGCAGCCTTGAATTACAAAGCAATTGAGAAATACCATTTACAATAGAACCTGATAGAATTGGTGGCCCAGAACCAAGGATGTGGAAGATCTCAGGGCCTTCCTCTCCATTGGAACTTTGCCTAGTTGATATTTCCAAATAGCTTAATGTCACCTACAGTTCCTTCTTCTGCAAGAAATGATATGGACTGGTCCATCCCTCCTCCTTCAGTGCCAATATAACGCTCGCTCTTGGCACAGATTTCCGCAAGTTCCACCTGGAAAAGTAAGAATTGATTTGTACTGTGAGTATAGCCATAATCTATTTCTCATTCATTTCTTACTCCAGACATGACAGATAGGTTTGAATTCCAGTGCTAACTCTGATAAATTGATAAAAGCTGCCTGAAACATTGTGTTAACAAGGACTCTAAGACTACCATTGAGCTCAATAGGAAAACATACCAAGATCAATTAACATTTGCAGTGGGATCGAATTAGAAATAGACTGTGCAGGGGCGCCTGGGTGGCGCAGTCGGTTAAGCGTCCGACTTCAGCCAGGTCACGATCTCGCGGTCCGTGGGTTCGAGCCCCGCGTCAGGCTCTGGGCTGATGGCTCAGAGCCTGGAGCCTGTTTCCAATTCTGTGTCTCCCTCTCTCTCTGCCCCTCCCCCGTTCATGCTCTGTCTCTCTCTGTCCCAAAAATAAATAAACGTTGAAAAAAAAAAAAAAGAAATAGACTGTGCATGCCATGTATTTGCTATCCATAAGAGATTCCACAAAGGCACCTGGGTGGCTCAGTCAGTTGAGCGTCTGACTCTTGATTTCAGCTCAGGTCATGATTTCACAGTTTGTGAGTTCAAGCCCTGCATTGAACTGCTCTCGGCACAGAGCCTGCTTGGGATTTTCATTCTCTCTCTCTCTCTCTCTCTGCCCCTCCCCCCAGCGTGCGTGCACATACTGTCTCTCTCAAAATAAATAAATAAACTTTAAAAACACCCAGTATCTCTTATAAAAAAAAAACAAATAGGGAAAGCAGTTTCTTCCATGTTTCTATTTGCTTCATCCCTCTCTAGACTAGTATCACCAAAAATCTCATATGGATACTCATTCATTTCTCCCTTCGTCTTCTTTTGTCTCCCCCACAGTGGACAGATCTAGTCTCCTCACAGCCAAAGTGGTGGCATCCAACTTTATCTTCCAGTCCAAAAGAAATTCTGTCTCTGTGGCATTTCCATTAAATGTAAAAATCAGAACTAGCATCGTCTAACCAGACACATCTTCCTCCAATCATGATGAAGAGGCCCAATACACAAACACAGTTCTAACCAAAATTGAATATGTCAAAATATGTGTTTAAGAATGTTCAATGGCTTCCTATTGAAATAATGAAATAAGTTCATTATTTCCTTAATGAAATAAGTTCAAGCTCCTCAATCTGGCATTTCAAAGCCTTCTAAAATGTGCAACCAATTTGCATATGAAATCATATGGTCTACCACTCTTTTCCAATTAGATTTGTCTCCATGACCATCTCACACATTTGTGCAAACTGGTATTACTTCCTGTCTTCTCTTATATAAATCCTATTTCCAGTCAATACCCAGCTTGCCGATTACCTAATATGGTCAAGTCACTGGGCTGACCACTTAAATCTTCCTCCATCATAGTCTTCCTCAAATATTATTCCCACTATGGCATCCCCTTTCTCTGAGCTCCCCACTGTGACCCTTAGCCAGTGTGAAAAGTCACCTCCCCAATAACAGCCATATTTACCTGCTAAGTACCTGGCATTATCTCTTTGGTGAACAGTACCTCCTTTAAGCCTCCACACAGTCCTCTGCTTATCCTCCTTATAGATGAGGAAAATGGGACTTGGAGACATAGCAGAAAATGAAACAGCCATTTGAACCTCATCTGCCTGACTTCATAGCCTGTGTTCTTTTCACACTGGACTTCATTACCCTTCTCCTGGCCCCACCCCCCTGGAGATAATTTAACCTATTTTTCACTACCTCAAAGGGATGTGAATGACAAATGAGATCACTAAATTTAAGTATTCTTGCTCTTAAGAAGAAAGAAACTGAAGCATGGAGAAATATATGCTTATTGATTGTTTTCTAAAATATTTGCTGTGTGGCAACAATAGGATACTTTTACTTTAAGTAGGATGTTAATTTTTCCAGGCTATCTATCTGGACAGAATTCAGAGGGACCCCAGACATCCCCAGCAGCTCTGTGTCAAGGAGAGTCCACCTGCAGGGATGTGGACATCCCTACACCTTGCTGAATTCTGACAGATGGATCCCATGACTGGACAGATGATGCCCAAGAGTTCTAAAGGTGAGTAAACAAAAGAAAATGAAGATAAGGAAGCTGAAAGATGAAAGAAAAAATGATTCACCTTATAGTCCCCTCAGAACACATGAGGAAATCAGTAGTAAATACGGAGGAAAGAAGCCAGTACCAGACATTTCTCAATCTTGATTAAAGCCCCAACGCTCCTGCCAACTAGCTGTTGTGACTTTAGATTTCACAACTTTTTCAAGTTTTCATTTTTTCATATGCTATTAATAATAACAATAATATTTTTAGCAGTTAACATTTATTGAGCACTTGCTATATGCCAGGCATGGTTCTAATTACTTTGTGTGAATTAATTATTTACTTCTTATAATGACCCTATAAGATAGATAGTATATACCCATTCTACAGTTGAGGAAACTGTGTACATTTATTAGCTGAGACTATGCTAGTAATTACAAAAGGTGAAATTCAAACTCAAATTGTCTAACTCCAAAGCCTGTACTCTTAATCACTATGCTATATAACCTCCCATCCATAATATGGAGAAAAATACCCACCTCTCTAAAGAACTATACAATTGTTAATTTTGTTATTTGTACAGGACAAATAAGGAATCATTTGATTTACACAAGTAGCTCAATCCCAAGTCAAAAGTAAAGACAGGTATAATTATTATGGAACACAGAACTATTTTTTTAAAGTGTTTAGGAAAGATGGAGTGCCTTGGTGGCTCAGTCAGTTAAGCTTCCAACTTCAACTCAGGTCATGATCTCATGGTTCGTGAGTTCGAGCCCTGCATCAGTCTCTCTGGTATCAGCACAGAGCCTGCTTGGGATTCTCTACCCTCCTCTTTCTCTGTCCCCTCCTCTGCTCATTCTCTCTCTCTCTCTCTCTCTCTCTCTCTCTCTCAAAAATAAATAAATAAAGTTTTTTTAAAAAAATGTTTGGGAAAAGAGAGAACATAAAAGTTTCTGGATGTGCCTAGAATGAATTCAGCAATAGGGAGTAATGTGGCCTGAGGCAAACAGGAGAGTGTGTGCTCCATTTGAAGCAATTCAGTCTAGTGGTAGCAGGAGAAGGGGTAGAGTGAAGGGCCCTGCCTGCCTGCCTGCCAAACAAAACATGCCTGTAGTGGAAACTCCAACTGCAGGCCTACAGGCAGCTTTTCCAGTGGCTCTAGTCCTTCACCCCCATACAAAAAGCAAAAAGGTCAAATCCAAAATGGTTATGACATGTGAAGAAACAAGAAACAAAAGTTACTTTTAAATCTCAAATCCTGATTAAGGAAAAAAATTGCATGCTTCTGTAGGTCCATAGCCTCAGCCAGAGATGGCATGACCCAAACTCAGAAACCCATTAATGGAGGGACCTTAACAGCAGGGGGTTTAATGGGAGCAGAGAATGCCTGTGACTCTGGGTGATGTGAGGGGTTCATGTGAGCCAGCCATGCCTTTTCTGTCCTTGGGGACCCGGGAAGCAGAACTATAAAAAAGTCCTCCAAGAGTTATGATCCTTGCAGAGAATTAAATCAACAATCCATTCGATTTGAAATACATAAAATATCAATATATTTCATGAGAATAAGAAGGATCTGTCAAAAACTCATTAACAAAAGTGTATGGAAAGAAACCCATCAGAATTTCAAAGAACGATCATATGGAATTTGAGGACCCAATTCTATTTAGCAAAGGATAAAGTCATCTTTTTCATGGATGTCTAAGGGATTCTGAGGCTCCCCCACTTCTTCTATCTCCCCACACCACACACATACACACACACACACACACACACACACACGCACGTGCACGCACGCATGCACACCCTGAGAACCCTTAGACAAGAATAGTAAAGCACTAAGTGAAAAGGGACTCATTCCTCTCCCTAACAATGTGTTCTCTTCTGCTCTTACACCTGAGTACTTCAGGAACCCCAGGTACCTCCAAACTAGTCACTTGTGGCATTTAGCTCTATCCCTTCCTGCAAAATACTAATGTCTGAGAATCTTTAGGGATGACAATTTGACTGCATGAGGAAGTTTTCCAAAGTTTGTAGCCAATAAATTCATTTCTATTTTGACTCCTGCTCTATGGACAGTTAAAAGAAACCTGGCATTACCCAGAGACCTTCTTTTAAAGCTACTGCAGATAGTTAATGAAGTTAATTTATTCCTTTTTGTGTTCTTCTCTTGAAGCAGCCTGGGAAAGAATCAAAAGTCACATGGGTTCCCAAATTAAACAGTTTACCCATCTGTGGGCCAGTGGGGCACTGGTGAGAGGAGAAATAACAGGGTTAGATTTAATATTCACTGAGATGAGCTAAAGATTCATGAATGCATTGCCTAGCTAAATCTGGATACTTGTAAAAACAATGTTAATACAAAAAGACTCAAGATATTAATGCAGTAAACTCTACCTTCATTTAACAGTTTTACTAATGATATTGTTAAAAGTAAAATAATCACATAGACAGGAAGTGTTAATCTCTTTGAGTCAGTTAGCTGTGACTATGAGAAGCCTCTCTATTCAGAACACAAGACCCTAACCAAGACAGCATCATCCAGCTATTGTTGGCCACCCCAAGTGCAAGTCAAGAGAAAGGAAAGAGGGATACCTGGGTGGCTCAGTCAGTTAAGCATCGGACTCTTGGTTTCGGCTCAGGTCATGATCTCACAGTTCATGAGTTCGAGCCCCACATCAGGCTCTACACTGATAGTGCAGAGCCTGCTTGGGATTCTCACTCTTTCCTTCTCTCTCTGCCCCTCCCCTGCTCTTGTTGTTCTCTCTCTCTCTCTCTCTCTCTCTCTCTCTCTCTCTATCTCAAAATGGATAAACTTAAAAGAGAGAGAGAGAAAGGAAGGAAATAAACAGCCCCATTCATTCACTCAACAATCCCTTAAACAGTATCCCACAGATAAGTGGGAAGGCCAGTGTCTTCCCTCTAGGACCTCACAATATTGATATTGCCTTCAGGT